CACCCTCTGAGCAGCGGTCACACACATCCCAGTTGGCCACGACAGCTGTGGCCTGGAGGTGGGTGGTCAGCAGCTGGCTCGCCTCCTGCCCTCTAGTCTGCAGGTCTTACTAAGGCACGGAGGCCCTGCCCCTCTTACTCAGCGACACGTGATCAATGGGGTAGACCAATCAAGATGATCTATCGGGCCAGCGCTGCGGCGCAGCAGGCTAAGCCGCCGCCCACAACACTGCCATCCCATGTGGGCACCAGCTCATGCCCTGGATGCTCCACTTGGGATCTAGATTCCTGCTCACAGCCTGGGGATGGCAGTGGACAACTGTCCAAGAGCTTGGGCCCCAGCCACCCACGTGGAAGACCCGGAAGAAACTCCTGGTTCCTGGCTTCAGCCTGGCCCAGTTCCAGCTGTTTCAGCCACTTGGGGAGTGAATCAGCAGAAGGAAGATTTCTGTCTCTCCCCCTCACTATAATTCTCTGTCTTTCAAATAAGTAAGTAAATCTTCAAGAAATAAAATGATACGATCTGCCAGCCAGTCTAGGGCAGACACCAGGAGGATACAGCCCTGAGGCGAGTGTACCATTGGTCCTGCCAGGTAAAAGCAAACTGCTTCTTGTGATCCTGGCAAATCGCTATAAAGGAAAACACGACAGCTAGCTCAATGGCCGCACAAAGGCTCTACTGGGGACACAGCCTGTTCAAGTTTATGAAAGGACACAGTCGTTTCCCAAGGGCCTTCTGTCATTCCTGCTGCGTCTAAGTGATTACATGGAGGTGTGACAGGGAGACCTACACCTGCACTTTCTTTTTTTCTTTTTTTAATTTATTTTATTTGAAAGAGAGAAGGAGAGGCAGAGAGAGAGAGAGAGAGAGAGAGAGAGAGAGGTCTTCTATCTGCTGGTTCACTCCCCACATGGCCATAATGGCCAGAGCTGCACTGATCTGAAGCCAGGAGCCAGGAGCTTCTTCTGGATCTCCCACGTGGGTTCAGGGGCCCAAGCACTTGGGCCATCTTTTACTGCTTTCCCAGGCCACAGCAGAGAGCTGGACCGGAAGTGGAGCAGCCAGAACTCGAACTGGCACTTATATGGGATGCTGGCACCACAGGTAGAGGCTTTACCCGCTACGCCACAGTGCCAGCCCCACGTACACTCTCAAGCCTTGATGACAGCAGAATTTATGACAGCTCCTCCAGGGTGCGGTGCTGCTCCTGGTTCTCTCCTGGGGGAAAGGAACATCCCAGGGATTTCCTGAGCCCTTCTTGCCACAATGGCCCCAATGCATGGGTCAGAGAACCAGTGCGGGGGTTCTGCCAGTTGTCACAAGTATCTAGCCCCACAATACATTCAAGGGTCAACAGATGAACTTGACAGATCTCGACTTCAAAGAATGGTTAACATGATAACACATGGAAAATGAAAGTGAGGTCGCCTAGGCTGAGCAGGTACACAGAGCAGCAAAGCAGAGGAAGGTGCCAAGAAGTAAGGTGGAGGGGCTGGCGCTGTGGCGTAGCGGGTAAAGCCAGTTTCCCACACCGGCATCCCACATGGGCGCCAGTTTGTGACCTGCCTGCTTCACTGCCAATCCAGCTCCCTGCTAATGGCCTGTGAAAAGCAGCGCTTGGGCCCTGCCACCCATGTGGGAGGCCTGGAGGAGGCTCCTGGCTTGGATCTGGCCCAGCCCTGGCCATTGCTGCCATTGGTGAGTGAACCAGCAGAGAGCAGATCTCTCACTGTCTCTCCCTCTCTGTTACTCTTTCAAAATAAGTTTTTTTTTTTTTTTTTTTTTTTTAAAAGAAGTGAGGTGGAAAATAGGACCTGTGGAAGGAAGAAACTGAAAAATGCTGACAGCTTTTCTTTACCTCAGCCCCGGAGGTAAAGGAGGGCCCTAAGCAAGAGGCTAAGTCCTGCTGTGTGTGCGTGGTGGGTGATGGAATCAGGAATGAGTTCTGAGTAGTGGAGTGAAACGGCCAACGGGGCTGGCACTGTTAAGCTTCTGCCTGCGGTGCCAACATCCCATACTGGCACCAGTTCAAGTCCCGGCTGCTCCACCTCCAATCCAGCTCCCCGCTAATGGCCCGGGAGAAGAGCAGAAGATGGCCCAAGTGCTTGTGCCCCTGCAGCCACATGGGAGACCTGGAAGAGGCTGTGGGCTCCTGGCTTTGGCCTGGCCCAGCCTGGTTATTGAGGCCCTGTGGTGAGTGAACCAGGAACTGTAAGATTTCTCTCTCTTCCTCTTGCCTCTGCCTCTCCCTCTTTGTAACTCTGCTTTTCAAATAAATAGGTCTTTAAAAAAAAAAAAGGATTTTGTCTGATTCATCTCTCAAAAGTGCAAGTCAGAGAAGGCACGTGTGCAGACCAGTCACAGGGCTGTGGGTGAGGGGCATCCGTGTCGGGCCGCGCGGTGAGTGTGGACCACAGGCGAGTTTAAATGCAGGGCAAGGCACAGGGGGGCTCAGGGCGGGCCCTTTCTGAGCGCAGATGACTGGCAGGATGGCGGAGCTCACAGCACAGGGGCACCAGGACCCGAGACCGAGAAACCGGCCTCTGAGTACATCAGACTGTCCCTGTCCGCTGGTAAGAACTTAGGGCGATTTCTTTACTTTTCTTCAAAGAGTTTTGTTTTTATCCAGAAACACAGAAAATAATAAGATATGGCATTTTTCCAGGAAAGTTTTAAACTAAAAATAGGAAACAAAGACAGGAAAGACAAGAGATTACTTAAAAACAATCGAAATGGTCTCCAATCTAGACTGCTCCTCTGGCAACAGCCCCCAAGTAGGCAGACACAGGACGCTTGGGGACGGTCCGTCTTGTACAGGATGAACTATGCAGCCCCGGCTTTCTGTAGATGTTGAGGACCTGTCGTCTCAGTGTGGTGTGGCAGTGGAGGAGGAGGCCCCTGGAGCTGAGACGCCTGCCTCCAGGGCCAGCTGTGCACCCCCGTCCTCTGGGCACCTTCCTGAACCTCGCGGGCCTTGAACAGCACCAGCACTCATGGCTGAGCAGGTGGTTCCAAAGAGTAAGCGAGCTGACTCAACTCCTGGCCTTGGGTGTGTGTGTTCAGATCTGTGCACCTAAGAACCCTGTGTGTTCCACTGCCAAGAGACATGAACAACGTTCCTCATGGTCTACAGACTAACACTGGAGAACTGAGGGAAGGCGAGGACACAGGTGCCGTTAGGGAGAAGGGAGAAGGAGCACTCCTACGCTGGAGACAGCTTCCAAGTTCACCTGGGACCACCGTGAGCCCATCTGACAGAAACACGAACGTTCCAACAATCTATCGCACGTCAGGGGCAGACTGCAAAACCTCACACCACACTTCAGCCCTTTTCCATCACAACAAGGAGAGTGGCGAGACAGAAGCTAACGCTGCTCTTCCAGCAGTGAGTTACCAACTCACGCTGTCCCATCAGGAATCCAGTCATGAAAGAGGGCATCGCAGTATTTCACCAGAACCCAGACACTGCCTGGGCTTGTTGATGAAGCAGGACAGCTGCCCGGAGACGCGCTCGGGCAGGAAACTACCATGCTGCTTCGCTGCCTGGGCAGCCAGCCCGATGGTAGCACATAGGGAGGCCCCTGCCCGCCTCGTCCCCGCCACTGCGTAGATCTCCTGGGGGCGCTCGCAGTCTGAGTCTGCCCTGACAGACAGAACTGTGAGCGCACGGCCTCAGTCTGGTACACACCAGAAGTCAGGTGCCATCTACATGTGTCTGAATCCTGGTAACTGCTCCTGTTGGCCGGCAGGGAAAACACCAACTTAAACATAGCAGTATAGCACCCCCTCCTGGTAACATGACTGAACTACTCTAACGCGATTACTTTCAGCCAGTCTCCCCTTAGGATACTGAACACGCTACTGCCACAGAAAATCCCGTGTGGTGGGTACGACAGTCAAAGCTGTGAGTGCAGGGGGAGGGGACGTACGTACTGAGAAGGATGTTATCCACGCTACAAGAGCCACGCAGCAGCGAGTCCCATGTTTCAAGAATCTCAGGCACCAAGCTCACACATGCCCTCCCCGTGCTCTGACTAACACAGGCCTGGCTGGACACTCAAAGTGAGTACACAGAGTTGACAAGTTGGACGGGGCCCTGGGAAGTGCTGACAGGTAACAGGTTGTAACCCGAGAGAGACACGGAGACAGCACTGCAGAGCCTGAATCAAACTGGGAGATGGAGAAGGCTGTCTTCCAGGGGTGACAAACCAAGCAGAAAAGGTTAAGTTCACTGGATGAACCACGGACAGGGAAATTTTAAGCCCAAGGAGCAGCACACAAGCAGGGAGCTGCCACACCCACACCTGTTTGCAGGGAGAAGCAGGGCACTGTGAACCATTTGCTCCGAGGGCAGCAGGAGAGGCAGACAAAGGATGTCACAAATGGCCACACGTGCAGACCCATGGTTTCACGTTTTCCCTTAAGTTATAAGGAGCCAGCGAATGATTCTAAGCAACCAAGTGTCAAGAGCTGTTTGACATTTCCCTATGGTTCTCTTGAAGTTACCAATACTCTATGGTGCTGGCGCTGCGGCGTAGTGGGTAAACCTGCCACCTGCAGTGCCGGCATCCATATGGTACTGGTTTGAGGCCCGGCTGCTCCACTTCTAATCCAACTCTCTGCTATGGCCTGGGAAAGCAGTAGAAGATGGCCCAAGTGCTTGGGCCCCTGCGCCTGTGTGGGAGACCCAGAAGAAGCTTCTGGCTCCTGGCTTAGGATTGGCGCAGCTCTGGCCGTTGCAGCCATCTGGGGAGTGAACCAGTGGATGGAAGACCTCTCTCTCTCTCTCTCTCTCTGCCTTCTCTCTGTGTAACTGACTTTCAAATAAATAAATAAATCTTTAAAAAAATTAAGTTACCAATACTCTGAAGTCACTGAAAGAATATCTAGTATGCACCAGTATGCACCCTAACTAGGCAATTTAATGAAGTAACTTGGAGCTGAAACATGACTTGGGAAGCAGGCAGAGCTGCAGGGCAACACGAGCCACTCGTAATTACCTTTTGAACTCATCGTGGTAGAACTCGGACTTGCAGGTGACCATCTCGCCACCCTGGATGTCCTCGCGACTTCTGACTCCCCCGAACACATACAGCTCCATGGCGACGCCACAGGCCACCGCTCCAAATCTGAAAGGCCACACAGAGCAGAGCAGGCAGTGAATTTAGGAAGCTCAGGCCCACACTTCTTAACTCTTCTTGCGCCTGCTTTGACTGCCAGCGCTCAGTGGTTCAGGAATACGAGGGCCTTTCCAGGAAACAAAGGCTCCCGCCAACACTGACTCAGGGAGAAAGGCTGAGGGGCTTCAGGCCCAGGGAACTCAAAGGAAGCTTCAGTTCCGCATCTACACTCGCTCACCTCCTCTCCTTCAGGGGGCAGATAGCAGTCCACTGCTGGGTTCTGGGGTCGTAACACTCCACGGATTCAAAAAGTTTTCCATATGATCCTCCACCCATGGCATAGATTTTCTTCTTCATAGCTGCATAGCAGCCAATCTGAAAGGAGAAAGCAACAAAGGGGGAAAGGTGATATTTATTAACAAACGTTAAGAATTAAATGTAAAGAAAAGCAAACTTGTCCAGAGGCATGTTAAGACATTCAGGAAAGGAGGGGTTAAAGCCCACTGGTCTGCAGCACCGGCATCCTACATGGATCCCATATGGTTTGAGTACCGGCTGCTCTACTTTTTTTTTTTTTTTTTTTTTTTTTTTTTTTTTTTTTGGACAGGCAGAGTGGACAGTTAGGAGAGACAGAGAAAAAGGTCTTCCTTTGCGTTGGTTCACCCCCAAAATGGCCGCCACAGCTGGCGCGCTGCGCCGATCTGAAGCCAGGAGCCAGGTGCTTCCTCCTGGTCTCCCATGTGGGTGCAGGGCCCAAGCACTTGGGCCATCCTCCACTGCACTCCCGGGCCACAGCAGAGAGCTGGACTGGAAGAGGAGCAACTGGGACAGAATCTGGCGCCCTGACCGGGACTAGAACTTGGAGTACCGGCGCCGCAGGTGGAGGATTAGCCTTGTGAGCCGCAGCGCTGGTCTGCTCTACTTCTGATCCAGCTCTCTGCTATGGCCTGGGAAAGCAGTAAAAGATGGCCCAAGACCCTGGGCCCCTGTACCCACGTGGGAGACCTCGAAGAAGCTCCTGGTTCCTGGCTTCAGATTGGCCCAGCTCCAGCCGTTGTGGCCACTGGGGAGTGAACCAGCAGATGGAAGACCTCTCTCTCTGTCTCTACCTATCTTAGTAACTCTGCCTTTAAAATAAACAAAGTAAATCTTAAAAAAAAAAAAGATATTTAGGAAAGGATCTGATTTCTTTTTTTAAAGGTTTTTATTTATTTATTTGACAGGTAGAGTTACAGACAGTGAGAGAGAGAGACAGAGAGAAAGGTCTTCTTTCCATTGGTTCACTCCCCAAATGGCCACAATGGCTGGAGCTACGCTGATCCGAAGCCAGGAGCCAGGTGCTTCCTCCTGGTCTCCCATGTGGGTGTAGGGGTCCAAGGACTTGGGCCATCCTCCACTGCCTTCCCAGGCCACAGCAGAGAGCTGGACTGGAAGAGGAGCAACTGGGACTAGAACCCTGTGCCCATATGGGATGCCGGCGCTGCAGGTGGAGGATTCACCTAGTGCGCCACGGCACTGGCCCCAAGGATCCAATTTCTAACAGTAAAATTGCAGAGTTTCCAGTATCCTAACACAGGACTTTCAAAACGGGAAGAGCAAGGTTCACACAGGGTGCTAATCCTGCCCCATGTGATACCATCTCACTAAGGGAGGAAGGGGACACTTCTCGTCTTTCAAAGAGCTCTCTGGACTCTCACTGCTATTTGAAGATTCCAAGATTGACATCCTATGAAAGAAGACGCCATTCAAGTCCTGTCCAAAATACTTCAGTTGAAAGGGTACACGAGGTGAGAAAACACACTGGGAGTCCATCCCAGTACCCAGCTGTAAAACACCCAGAGCACACGACAAGACTCTGGCTTGCTGAGTGATGCGCTGCCTGCCTTCACTCTGCTCACTGAGCAGCGCTGGTCTTCCACCTGTAGGGGACTATTCCTGCCCAGCCCTGCCGGCTGCTTAAGAACTGGAGACGAAGATCTGGCTGCTCCCTGGGTCAGTGCCTTCACTCTCACCAGCCAGAGCGGGACATGCGTGTGTCACAGTCCTACCTAGGCGTGTGGCTGACGAGAGTGAAGACAAGCTACTGATAAAGACAGAGTTCTGCAATGGTAATTCTTCTAACATTTTCAGTCGTATTAAAGGTACATGTGGGACATGAGAAGCCTTAACTCTAACATGCAACCTGGAAAGAAACTGGTTATCAGCAGCTATATTCTCACCTTTCTAACCATGGTCAAATCCGGTTGCTTTGTCCATGTTTTAGAATAAATATCGTAACACTCCATGGAAATCAGCTCTTTTTCACCATCTTCCCCCCCTAAAATGTACAGCATTCCGTCGATCTCCACAATCCCAAAGTTGTGCCTTGCCTGAAAAGATACCAGTGATCTTTGGACAAAAACGCCAGTAGTCATATTAAAAGATGATATTCATACATTTAATAAAATTATAAAAATCATTTTACTTCAGTGTTTCAGCAAGAAAGGACCAAGTTCAACGCCATTTCTCCTAGTAATGCTTCTGAAATATTTCTGGTTTCCCCAGCAGCTCATTCTTCCATCCTGATGTCTGCTGAGCTACCCAACACAGGTAGTTTCTCAGAACAAGGGAGTGAACTACACGGTGAACCCTTCAGCAAAACTGTAACTTCTTAATCCACAGTAGCTCACAACAAGAAAAGGAACTACTTCTTTCCGGTTTAGTAAAGACCATTTCTGAACAGCAACAGCAACTTGTATTTTCAAGTTGATGCGGGAAAGACAGGTGACAGCCACAGCAGTAGACCGTGATTGGCTTTTTGGAGTTACGGGAGCCTGAGTTACTCAACACTCATCCATCAACTACTATTCACTCTGTTTCTCCTAGGTGTCAAGCAATGTTTTAGTGCTGAAAGTAAGAAAAGACGAAATCCCCATCTGCCATCAGAGTCCACGTGAAAAACGGTAACACCTCACATGTAGAAGGTGACGGATGCAGGGGACAAGGCGCGGGAGACCGGGCAGCCTTCGCGAGAACGGCTCAAGGACAAGCACTTAGGGGAGGCAGCAAAGCCGTGGGCACCTGGGGCAGACGTCCTGGCAGGAGGCTGTGAACGTGCGAGGAGGCCAGGGTGGGCAAGGGAAGCAGGAGGAGCGCAGGAAGGGCGGGCACCAGCGCAGCCGGTGGGGCCTGGCAGCGCGGCTGCTCCTAGGCCATCCTCGAGCTCAAAACAAACAAGGGCAATGGGACAGGCGCCTAACGAACAGAAGCACACTCTACCTCATTCATGGGCGGCAGCGCAGTCCACGTGTTTGCATCCGGATCATACTTTTCTCCCGAGCTCAGCGTCTGCTTATTTTCATCTTGGCCCCCAAACACAAAGAGAAATCCTTCTGCAAAAATCACAGGAGACACACAGGACACCGGACATGTAACCCACAAATGCCAGAGCAAACAGACGCGTCCGAGTAACTGTCCCTGATGACAGCAGTGTTCTTTGCATCTGGGACCTTCCCCACATCCCTTCTGATCCCTGGAGACAGAGCCACATCTGTGGTCACCTCGACCACCAGGCTCTGCTCACTGCTATCTGAGAGTGGATTCTCACCACCCCACAAAAGCAAAGGGAGCCGGACGCCCCTCACTCAGTTCCCAGGCAACACGGGGTCACCTCAGTCCCTCTATTCTGCCTGCAGCCCACGTCTGTTCATTTAGAATCCCAGTAACACTCAGATCTGGGGCACCTGCGGGCACTCAACATTCAAAACAGGATCTAGGGGTCACTGTTGGGTTTCCTCCTTTGCATAATGACAGATTAAGCTATTCTTCTGCAAAACACACCTACATTGCTGGATAAGCCACTTAAAAAATAATCTTCTTAGAAGGTAAGAGGCTAAGACGACAAGAAGGCAAAGTGGAAGGAGAAGTAGAGCCCTGGGGTTCTCACTCTGGGGGCTCTGCCAGTCCAAGAGTGTGTGAAGTCTTTGTCCTGGAGGCAAAGCGCAGAAACCTCAGCCCCAGGCCCTGGCAGGAAGCCCCCCCAACGTCCCCCCCAGGATGAGGGCCAACCACGATTAGGACTCACATTTAAATCCCCTTTTATCTAGAAAGTCTCAGGCCTTGAACTTGATTCACAGCAATTCTAAACCAGTGGTGTTTGGGGGCAAGTGGAAGAAACAGACGCACAGAAGAAAGCAGCTGCCCATGGGCCTCAGGATGTAAGACATCGCATTGCTGCCACAGGTCACCTGGAACAGTGACCGGCATCCAGCCAAACGCACTCAGGCACACCAAGAAGTCAGTCTCCATGAGCACACCAGGGAGCAGATGCAGGAACATGAGAACACCAGGGAGCAGATGGCAGGAACAGCCTGCCAGGATGTGAGGTGCCGTGGTCGCCAGCGGGACAGAACAGCTACGCCTATCGTGTTTGAAGAAAAGAAGACACACCTGAAGATAAGTGTAGGAAACAAAGGACCACAGAAACGACCGCAGACTGGACAAAGCGCTGAAGAGAACTTCTGTAAGCTAAAAACCTCAGTGGATGGTTTTTTTTAGATAGAAAGGTCTTTCTTCTGTTGGTTCACCCCCAAAATGGCCGCTACGGCTGGTGCTGCGCCGATCTGAAGCCAGGAGCCAGGTGCTTCTTCCTGGTCTCCCATGCACACGTCTCCCTCCTGGGCCACAGCAGACAGCTGGACTGGAAGAGGAGCAGCCGGGACTAGAACCCGGTGCCCATATGGGATGCCAGCGCTGCAGGATCAGCCAAGTGAGCCACGGCACGGGCCCATCAGTGGATGGATTTAACAGCAGATTCACTGGAGTGAGGGAAAATCCACTGAACAGAAGAAATCACGAAGAGACCAGCACAGAGAGACAGAAACAATGAAAATAACTAACCAAGACAGGTGCAGCGTGTGGAGGAGAAAGTGCTGCTGTGGCTGGCAGACATAAAGCCAGACAGGAGGATGGGGAGGACGTGATCTGAAGTCATAACAAAGATTTTCTACAACCTAGGAGAGGCCAAGCCAGAGTCAAGAAGCACAATTAGCCTCAAATATGGTAAAAGTCTAAATAAAACATGAACTTAATCACACTATAGGGAAATACAGGTAAAAAAGACCACATAGGGCAGGCACTTGACATGGTGTTTAAACCACCATTTGGGATCCCTGCAACCCAAACTGGTGTGTCTAGTTCTTGTCCCAGCTTCTCTGCTTCTGATCCAGCTTCCTGCTAACGTGTATCCTGGGGAGGCAGCAGCTGCCGATGCAAGTATTTGGTTTCCTGCAACTCAGGTGGGAGACCCAGAGTGAGTTACTGGCTCTTGGCTTTGGCATCACCTAGTCCTGGCCATTATGGACATTTGGGGAGTGAACCAGTAGATGGGAGATTCCTCTCTGTTTCTCTGCCTTTCAAATAAAAGGAAAATAAATACATTTTTAAACACACACAGAGATAATCCTAAAAACATCCCAGAGAAAAGAAAGATCTTCACATAAATGACCTACCAATGAGTCAGAAGTCAGTGAAAAGACATCTTTAATGTGCTTAAAAAAAAAAAAAAATCACACTAGAATCTTATACCTAGCACAAGTATTCCTTAAGAATGAAGGCAGGGGCCAGTGCTGTGGTGTAGTAGGCTAAGCCTCCGACTGCAGTGCCGGCATCCTGTATCAGTACTGGTTCCTGTCCCAGCTGCCCTTCTTTTAATCCAGCTCTCTGCTAATAGCCTTAGAAAACAGTGGAAGATGGGCTAAGTGCTTGGGCCCCTGCACCTACATGGGAGACTTGGCGGAAGCTCCTCGCTCCTGGCTTCGGATCGGCCCAGCTCTGGCTGTTGTGGCCATTTGGGGAGTGAATGGAAGTGGATGGAAGACCTTTCTGTCTCTCCCGCCTCTGTAACTCTACCTCTCAAATAAATAAAGCTTCCAGTTCAGCTTTCTGCTGATGTGTCTGGGAAGGCAGCAGAAGATGGCCCAAATACTTGGGCTCCTGCTACCTACGTGGGAGACCTGCATAGAGTTCTGGGCTCCTGGCTTCAGCCTGGCCCAGCCCCAGACATTGCAACCATTTGGGGACTAAACCAGTAGACGGAAGATCTCTCTTTTTCCTTCCCCATCTCCTGTGAATTGGCCTTTCAAACAGATACATAAATAAATCATTGAAAAAGAATGAAGGTAAAACAAGGACATTTGCAAACAAATCTAAGAGTTTCCCACCCATATCAAAGGAAATTCAAAAGGATGGACTTCAGAGAGAAGAAAAAATGATCCCAGGTAAAAAGTCTGAGGTGTACGAAGGAAGGAAGAACAAAGAAAGAATATAAAAGAATACCATCCATCCACTCATACATAAAACCTATACAGAAGTGTACTATGCACACAGCGATTAATCACCACGTAGCTTAGTACTGTCAGCTGTGGAACAGGAAAAGTACAGTGACACCTACTGAAGGAGAACAGGCACCTGTCGTTAGGAGCTTTGCACCTTGGTAACCTGAGAACACAGGCTAATTCCCAAGGCAGACAGATGCCCCCACCGCAAAGCAACAGTCAGGACTCTAACTTCCAAAGTGACACAGGGGAAAAGGGAATGACAAAAAATCAGGCAAGAAGAGACAGGAAACTGGAGCAGCCTGGACAAACAGAAAGGAATTAGTCAATCGTTTTGGTTTCAGTCAATACAACTCCACAGAATTACGCTTTTCATCATATAGTTTCCGAAACACCAAACCCTCTAGGAAGTCCTCAGAGACCAGTGTTGCAGGAATCTGTGTGATAGGTGTGTGTATATGAAAATTATAAATGTGTACACACCATGGAAACAAAGTGGCAGGGAGTAATCTGGAGAAGAAGGAACAGGGAAAGTAGACCCACACCCTGCTGGCAATGCTGCTCTGTCCGACTCTATTCTGAGTGCAGCCCTAGCCATTTTTATGTGTGGTTGGTACTGGCTACTGTGATAGGCCATGAGATGCCTAATACAGAGTAGTGGGGTATGTCGTGCTGGGTTATCGTATGGTATGGCTTCATTTTATAAAATGTTATTACCTATTTATTTCAGAAACAGAGGGAGAAAGCTAGGTATGGTATACAGTATGGCTTAAATTTTTTTATATTTATATTTATTTGAGAGGCAGAGAGAACTATGGTATGGTATAATACACATTAATATATAATATAGTGTAAAATACATATGTATTTAAGCATCTTTAAAATTATTCTTTGTTTGGCCGGCGCCGCGGCTCACTAGGCTAATCCTCCGCCTAGCGGCGCCGGCACACCGGGTTCTAGTCCCGGTCGGGGCGCCGGATTCTGTCCCGCTTGCCCCTCTTCCAGGCCAGCCCTCTGCTGTGGCCAAGGAGTGCAGTGGAGGATGGCCCAGGTGCTTGGGCCCTGCACCCCATGGGAGACCAGGAGAAGCACCTGGCTCCTGGCTCCTGCCATCGGATCAGCGCCGTGCGCTGGCCGCAGCGTGCCGGCCGCGGTGGCCATTGGAGGGTGAACCAACGGCAAAGGAAGACCTTTCTCTCTGTCTCTCTCTCTCACTGTCCACTCTGCCTGTCAAAAAAAAAAAAAAAAAAAAATTATTCTTTGTTTGAGAGTCAGCGAGAGAGAGAGGTGGGAGCAGACAGAGATCTCCCACCTGCAGATTTGCTCCTTAAATGCCCAATGGCTGGGGATGGGCAGGACCGAAGTCAGGAGCTGGCAACCACCTGGGAAGTGGGCAGCACAGACCCAACTACTTGAGCTATCACATGCTGCCTCCCAGGGAACACGCTAGCAAGAAGCTGGCAACGGGAGCCGAGCTAGGACCTGAACCCAGGGACTCCAAGACAGGATGAGGCACCTCAATCACTAGGCACAATACCGCTCCCCTGCTTGCAAGTGCTGAAGTAAGTCAGAGGGTGTGCAATGGAACGAGGCTCCCAGCAGCACTGCCGACCTCAATCACCTGGAATGGCCCTTGCTGCGTGAACCTAAGAGGCGGGTCTGAGGCGAAAGGAGAGACGGGGCGCGTGCTGTGGCGCAGCAGGTTAAGCCGCCACTCAGGAAGCCCACACCCCACGTCCGAGTGCTAGTCTGAGGCCTGCATACGCCACTCCTAATCCAGCTTCCTGTTAATGCACCTGGGAAGGCAGCAGACGATGGTGCAAGTATTCGAGCCCTGCCACCCACATGGGAGAACAGAAAAAGTTCCTGGCTCCTGGCTACGGTCTAGACCAGCCTTGGCATGTGGGGCGTGAACCAGCAGACGGCAGGTCTTTCTGTCGCTCTGTTTCTCTCGTTCTCTGTCTCTCCAATAAGTAAGCCTAAAGTAAAGAGAGACAGAAAACAGTTCTAAGGCAGCAGTTACCATCCTTTTTTATCACTGCCCAAAGTGAGAGCTTTGAATAACGTGGAGTAGTTTTCAAACCTGTGAAGGTCAGGTAAAACACCCGCAGTAAAGGAACTTGACGCCACTGCCCACTGAATGGCTATTTCTAAAACCTCGGAAATGCCTGCATTTACATTCACATAATGTGTTTTATAGAACTACCCGCTGCAGTTATAAATGGCACGAGTTTCAAAGATGGGGGATCACGGCTCCGAGAAAGGGTGTGCTCCTGGGACAGGCACAGAGCTCTCGAGTGGAGTGGCAGCAACCGCTGCGGGCTGCTTGTCCACCAGGGAGGGCTCCGAGTGTAAGCTCGTCCACCACCTGGCTAGAAGCTGTGATTTGCAAGGAGATCAGGACACTTCTCCCAGCCACAGGCTCGAAAGCCAGAGTACAGGAGAGTATAATCACGTGGCGAAAGCAAAACGGTATCTGCAAAAGGCTTCGAGTCCTTCTGTCCCACCCTGAGCTCACGCGCCACTCGCCGCTGCGCCCCAGCGAGGCTGAGCACAGAACGGTACCTGCGGAGAGGACGCCATGGTTGATCCTCGGCATGCTCAAGGGCGCCAGTTCGATCCACAGCTGCCTGTTGGGGTCATAGAGAGGGCACATGCACCGCATCGCGGCCGTCGGTTTCCGGGAACTGAAGAAACACATCGCTGATGAGCAGGCAAAGGGCTTTACATAGTTCTGCTTATCACAACAATGACAGTTCAGCACTCTAAAGAAGGTTAAACATTTTGAAACTGGACTGCAAATGCACTCCAGGGGCTGAAATCCCAGGAACCCTGACACCAGGGCCCAGCTCGCCCCTGTACTTACACTCTTTCCTCCCCGCCGACAGTCACGATGCACTCCGAGTAGCCCCGGGGCTTGAAGTTGGCCAGCATGGCCTCTCCTTGCTGCGGCTGGCTGAGCGGGATGTTGCTGCACTCTTTGACAATTTCTCGAACTAGCGGTTCGTTCAGCATCTGTTCCCGTAAGTAGCTGGAGTCCAGCCCCGACACCCAGAGCGCTGACATCACGTCCTTCATGTGGACCTGCAGGGAGGGGAGGGAGGACAGGGGAAGAAGCGGGGGCTGCAGCAGAGGTCTTAGAACACACGCACCTCCGGCTCCCGGAGACTGCTGCGGGCCGTCAGACGACCAGCAGGCGCGGATCCAGGGCGGTGGGGCTTGAACGCGCTTTCCTGCCCCTGCCCTTCTATTCCCATGGCTGCAGTGACTAACGGCTGAATTCTAAAAAATCAGTTCCGTTTTTTTTTTTTTTTAAGTATTTGAGGTGTCAGCTTTCTTTCGACTCCAAAAGATTCCATTCCAATAGGCAGACAGAGTAAACAACAGCTATAATTTGCTGTATTTCACATATTTGGATGCACACAGACAGAAGTGTTGTATAGCGTAACAGCTCAATACAGTGTGGTAAACTCAGATGTGTATCAGCATTAATATTGTAGGAAAATAAAGAGAAGCCCAACTTCAGAACACATCTTGAGTGCAGTGGAGTCATTTCTGCAGGAATTGCTGGTCACGGACTCCGAGCTGTGTAACAGGCCGCTCATTCAGGGTATCTTAGTCAGACAGCTTATTAACCGGCACGGGCAGAGACCTCTTGTGGTGTTCACACACTGGTTTTCAGTGTGCTCCCCTCCAGCCAGGAATAAAAGCCGACAGCCTTCCGGCATAAAGCTGAGATTCACCAGAGGACAAAGCAACCAGTCGGCCTCAAGCATCCTCGCACCGTGAGGAGAGCAGAGGTGAGGCGGAAGCCGGCAAGGAGCAGCGTTCCCACCGTGGTCCCGGCGGCAGCGAGCGGACTCCTCGGCTCCTCTCCTCGTCCACTCTAGAAACCCGCACCACACACCCCCGCTGACGCTGAGACGACAAACACGGTCTCCAAACGGACATTCTCAGAGGCTTACAGAACTTGAACTACAAGACTCATCTCGAAACCCGCTCTGTAAAACCAACCTAACACATTTTTTATTTTGTGAGGATCACACAGAAACGCAAAATGCCCGTGGTCCTGCTGCCTTCCCTACAGGAATCCTGACTGGAGCGAGAAGGTGGACACCGTCTGTGACCCTCTTCCTGTAAGATCTGCTCACTCCCAAATCCCTCCCCACACAAACCCGAGCGGCCCCCTGCTCTCACTGTGGGGCGTCGTCACTCCAGGCGGAGCCCACCCCAGAAGAGCTCCCTGTCCCACCCTCCCGCTGGCTCCGGAGTCCTGAGCGCTCAGGATGCTGAAAGCAGGGGCAGACAGGCTGCGATCCTGTGACCGCCACTTCAGCTTGACACACTTTCTTTTTTCTTTTCTTTTCTTTTTTTTTTTTTTGACAGGCAGAGTGGACAGTGAGAGAGAGACAGAGAGAAAGGTCTTCCTTTGCCGTTGGTTCACCCTCCAGTGACCACCGCAGCACATGCATCGCGCTGATCGATGGCAGGAGCCAGGTACTTATCCTGGTCTCCCATGGGGTGCAGGGCCCAAGCACTTGGGCCATCCTCCACTGCCCTCCCGGGCCACAGCAGAGAGCTGGCCTGGAAGAGGGGCAAGTGGGACAGAATCCGGCGCCCCGACCGGGATTAGAACCTGGTGTGCCGGCGCCACAAGGCAGAGGATTAGCCTATTGAGCCACGGCGCTGGCAGCTTGACACACTTTCCCCACTGAGGGCAAAGCCCACAGGATAGCAGGTTCCTCACTAGTGCCAACACTCTCACCAAGAGACTGTGAGTGACCAACACTTTGATGACAGATGGGGAAGTATTTAGGTTGCGACTCAGTCTTTCAAGGTGAGGAAAATGATAAAAGAATTGCAGGTTACATTACAAATAAATAAAAAGGCAGTACCAGACCAAGTTATAAACAACATGTACCAGGGCCGGCGCTGTGGTGTAGCAGGTAAAGCCACCACTTGCAGTGTTGGCATACCATATGGGCGCCAGTTCAAGTCCCGGCTGCTCCACTTCCGATCCAGCTCTCTGCTATGACCTGGGAAAGCAGTAGAAGATGGTCCAATTCCTTGGGCCCCTGTACCTGCGTGGGAGATCGGGAAGAAGCTCCTGGCTCCTGGCTTCAGATAGCGCAGCTCCGGCCATTGCAGCCAGTTGGGGAGTGAACCAGTGGATGGAAGACCTCTCTCTCTCTCTGCCTCTCCTCTCTCTGGGTAACTCTGACTTTCAAATAAATAAATAAATCCAAAAAAAAAAAAAAAAAAAACCCACATACCTTTCTTATTTCTGTGTCATGTGCTATCCACCGGATTACGGCTTCAAATACGTATTTTTCATTGCCAACGTTCAACTTCTCGAGAGAAATAACTTCTTTGAGCTTCTGAGGGCTCAGTTCTAGGAATTCTTCAGTGCTGCTGACGTCTCGGAAGTGCGTCTCCAGGTATTCTGTGGCCAAGTAGTGGACGTGGTGCAGGCAGTAATGCAGCGCAAAGTCCCGGATCCCAATGCAGTTCTCGGCAGCAATGCAGCCCTCTAAAAACTCACAGCACAGAGTCTTAAGGTCCGTCAGCAGCAGCAGGTCTGCAGCCTGTACGACATCTTGGATTGTGTCTTCGTTCAGCCTGATCTGCAAGAGTTTCATAGACATTTTATACTTGGATGTACAGATTTGAAACTTAAGCCACTGATTGTTAGCTTGAATCACATGAAATTTTCATTTTTGTAGGTCAAAAATGGTCATATACTGGCTATTTCATATGATTCGACCTGGTACTCTTTTCAACAACTTGAGGGTACCAAGGAACTTTTTAGCAACATAAGCAGATGTACGCTTGGTTAGCTGGCTCCAGCTCTCCCCTTCTAAGCCAAGCTGTCACTTGCTCAACTCGGAGAAAACCCTCACTGACTGCAACACCCAGGAAACGGGAAGCCCTTCCTTCTATGGTAAACAGAAGCTGACTGCTCTAAACAGTGTGGCACCAGAACTCACTAAGTTCACCTGTCTGCCAAGGGTGAAGCCAAACTGCACGAAGCTCCCTGAAGAGTGCATTCACAGCCCCATTCTGCACGATGCAACAGACACAGTGTGGTGCCCACACCTCCCTGTGCAATAAACCCCTACTGTAAGGTTCTCCTCCTCATTAGCAATGTTTACTTCCTCATTTTCTTCAATTCTCAGCTAAACGCTTTCTCTTCCACTTGCTTCACGGTTTGTCCGTGAAACACAAAGCGTTATGAACAAAGGGGTTCTAAGATACTGCACGGTCACCAGGGACACCCCAAAGCCCTGGTCCTCACTGCCATTCAGAAACATAGAGGAGGGGCCGGTGCTGTGGTGCAGCAGGTTAATACCCTGGCCTGAAGTGCCGACATCCCATACGGGCGCTGGTTCAAGACCCGGCTGCTCCACTTCCAATCCAGCTCTCTGCTATGGCCTGAGAAAGCAGTAGAAGATGGCCCAAGTCCTTGGGCCCCTACACCTGTGTGGGAGACCCAGAGGAAGCTCCTGGCTCCTGGCTTCGGATCAGCTCTTTGGATCAGCGAGGCTCTGGCCGTTGCAGCCAACTGGGGAGTGAACCATCGGATAGAAGACCTCTCTCTCTCTCTCTCTCTCTCTCTGCCTCTCCTCTGACTTTCAAATAAATAAATAAATCTCTAAAAAAAAAAAAAAGCATAGAGGAGCCTTGTCACAGAGAGAACTGAAACATTTTTACCATATTTCACATGTTTTGGTTCAACAGACAAAAAAATAAGTGTGCACCTGTCAACTGTCTCAGAAACTGAGTAAAACACTTGGAAAGTTATGCGCTGAGAAGGCCACAAGCTAGGGGGACTTTCCCATACACATGACCTGTTCAATTCAGCCTCAAGCCAGTGGACAGCTGAAGAACACTCAAATATGGGCATGCAGAAAAACACTAACTTGCATATCAGTAAAATGAAACAGGCAATGCAAGACTTTAATTTTTATGTTACAATTAAGGCTTTAACCTTAAACTGGAAACAAATGGCGAACCTGAGTCTGTATGTAAGACTTGGAATCCCAGCCCAAGCAGGACAGGCTGTCTTACGAGTGCTGCTGGATCGACTGTGCAGTCAGCCAAGAGGCTGCCTGCGAGCCTGGTTCTGTGATGCCACACAGGAGACCCAGTATTTCAAGAGCTGTTCCCAAATAATTTAAACTGCTTTGTTTTTTAAACAATTACACACACCACTTACTGCCTAACGTTTGTAGAAGAAAGAGAATGAAGGGGACAAACCATGAAACCAAACCGGACACTCTGAAAAGGATGAGAATCACCGAGTTTGACTCGACAGCATGAATGTATTCAGAGAGGAAGAAGTGCACTTGGAGTACTTGGAAAATACACAGCAGACACAGTCCTCCAGGAGGGAAAGGAAAGGCAGCAGAGATGAGAAAGGGGTGTCGGGAAGCGGGCAGGAGAAGAGAAAGCATTCCCCCATGACCGTGGGTCACCACACCGACCTCAGCCAGCAGCCCAGACTCACACCTCCTGCTTTCCTGGAGGGCCCGCGTGCTATACTGTCAATCCCATAATAGGGGCGGGGGAGGACGGCGGACAAAGGAAAACAGAGTTGTCATTTACTACTTTCTGCCCTGGGCACCATTCAATCTCCAGACACACGAGGGGTGCAGAGAGAGAGAAGGGCTGGGCAAGGACACAAGTGCCAGTGAGGCGGCAGGACAGGGCACCAGGACCACAGCAAGGCAGACGCGTGTGAAGCCCCTTTCACGGGAATCAAAGGAACTCTTCACGTGTACAAAACACAGCCCCGGTGCCCAGGCAGCTCCATCCACGCCACAGAGACAGACAAGCTGCACACAGAGCAAGTTTAGACTCAGGATCCAAAAGGCAGCACAGCATCCTGTGTTCTCACATCACACTGGCAGGTGCAGCTCAGAATGACAAAAACGTACGCTGGGATTTGGGTCTGAGCGGTTACATCGGCTGCTTCTCTTTCAGGAGCTGAGCCCCAGAACACACACGGGGTGCCGTGACCAGGAGGGGACAGGAGTGAAAGCACACAATGACAGAAGGTGAAGAGGACAGAGCCACTCAGTTGAATAATGGATGAAGGAGACCCTCACCCTGAGCTTGAGGAGCCTCTACTTAGGTCTTCCTTCCTCTGATTCTCATCGTACCTGCCCACTGAAGATGTAATCCAGGATCTCTCTCATAACCATTACCGATATCCCTTCAAGTTCAATCTTATAAGTTGATCCATCATCTTTTGGAGGATTATAGTTTAACTTTGTCCTAAGAAAGGGAGAAAAATGTAAAATTTCTATGAAAACACAGAAATAGCTGTAAATATTTATGAACTAAACACAAAGTATATGACACTATGAGCATGTGAATCCGACCTAGAAAACTGTTTCAGTTAAATCAATATGTATATATATATATAAAAGATTTATTTTATTTATTTGAAAGAGTTACAGAGAGAGGTAGAGACAGAGAGGTCTTCCATTCGCTGGTTCACTCCCCAGAACTGTGCCGATCCGAAGGCAGGAGCCAAGAGCTTCCTCCAGGTCTCCCACTTGGGAGATTCACACCTTGGGCAGGGGCCCAAGGCCTTGGGCCATCTTCCACTGCTTTCCCAGGTCACAGCAGAGAGCTGGATCGGAAGAGGAGCAGCTGGGACTAGAACCAGTGCCCATATGGGATGTCGGCGCCTCAAGCCAGGGCTTCAACCCGCTGTGCCACAGCGCCAGTCCCAAATCAATATATTTTTATAACTTTTTACCTACAAAACATTGGTCCCAGGATTCAAAATACTGCTTCTTAAAAAACAAAACAGACAACCAAAGAACTAAGATCCCTATGAGCATGAATCTTCATCTCTCCTTGGAAGTCCCAGTCCCTGGAAGCTTATTCTTCATGTATTTAATTACCTAATTATTTTCAACGATATAATGACTTGCAAACCTACTGTCCCAAACTGAAGCTTAGACCCTGGCAAAGTCTGTTGCCCTCCAGCCTATTCCTCTGCTTCCACCTCCGATGTAATCATACACTTCAGTACTACACTCAATTTTCCTTTGCTTCTTTTCATTATTGGACTTACATAGATTTTAAGTTGTTTTAATTTTATCCAAGTGTTTCTTTGGCTCTTTCTGCTATATAACATTTCACTGTTAACCGCCTCTGGGTTGTTTCCAGGCTTCTGATCCTGCAAACAGAGGTGTTGTGACTATAACTGTATATATCTCTTTTTGTACTATGTGAGGGAATCCCCCTTGGGTATCCCCCTGAGAGAAGTGGGGACAGTTTACAGTCTCATCTGCATGTGTAGGTGCACCCCTGGGTCTGCAAACTCTGCACACGCAAACTTCTCCAACTTCTCAAGTTCTGAGGTCGGGTGAGTGAGCTGTGCCATGTCACGGCAGCTGTCACCTGCAGACCCCCACTGCCCAGGTGCCCAGCTTCACAGGCTGCGGCCACTTGTCTCCTCCTCGGGGAGACACCTGTTCGGGTGATGTCTCTTGCTCATTTTGTTAATAACTGTCCTCCTATGGAGGTACAGGAATTCTTTATTCACTCCTAATACCAATTCTTTGGCAGACTTTATTTTCTACACATTTTAAAAAGTGATGAACAACTTGAAGAACATTTCTTTCACTGTCAATGCTTTTATGTGCCATGTTTAAGAACTTGTATTTTAGCTAAGATTAAAAGACATTCCTGATATTCTTTATCAATAAAATTTAAGGTTTTAAAAACATATATATTGCAATGAAATTTTTAAGTTACTTTGCAATATGTAGTTGGTATGAAAGGTAGCTCTGTTAAATCTTGGGAATGGCGCCATGTTACATGTCACTGTCCTTTGGAAAGAAAAGCAGACCTTCAAACGGTAGGATCCACGTGGTGAGAGTAACATGGCAAACAGCTGAGACAGACACTTGAACTCATTCTTGGCATTCAGGCTTCTATGACACTAGGATAAAGTCAAGGAGCAACCAGACTTTCGGTGGACTGAATATAAAGAGAAGAAAATAACGACAACAAAACTCCACAAGCAGGAAAACAGACAAGAGACAGTGACCTGGAATATCTGCAAAAGCCTCATCCTAATCCAGCAGTGAGCAAAGTCAGGACACAATCTGAACTGCACTGAGGACTCCCTGGGCTCAGGAACCGGTAGTGCAAGGTTGTCGGGGAGGCAGCGAGAAAGATGAGCTAAAAACAGAACTGATGGACACAGTTTTAATAAACAGTCAAATTCCAGCCCCCCCCCCCACCTGTACACATCACTCCCGTGCCCAGCTCATGGAGGAAGAGTGATTTATACTTCAAAGAATATAAAACTGAGGCTCTTATTTGAGGGCAGGTGAAGTGTACCAAAAACTGAGGGTCAAGAGAAGGCTGAGCTATCAGTCCTTTCTCCTCCACAGCTGCACCCAAAGTGCTGATGGCCGGCACAGGCACCGTGGTGCAGCAGGTTAGCCACCGCCTGAGACGCCAGCATACCATATTGGAGCACTGGTTCAAATCCCGGCTCCTCAACTTCTCATCCAGCTCCGTTCTCATGTGCCTGGAAAAGCAATGGAGAATGCCCCCATGGGAGACCCAGATGAAGTTTCAGGCTCCCGCCGTGGGCCTGAACCAGCCCTGGCTGTGGTGGCCATTTGAGGAATAAACCACTGGGTGGACGATCTCTCCCTCTGTCTCTCTGCTTTTCATATACACAAACAAACCTTTATCATTTTTTTTTTTAATGCTGAAAGCTAGATCTATATCCTCCAAGTGAGAAACTGCAAGACTCTTCTGGAAGATTTGCTCAGCCCATGGCTACACAGTACTGAAGAACAGACAAAATGCCCCAGCCTGACCATGTAACAAGGAAATCCCTGGTCAGCAACTCAATGGCCTGTATGTCGAGCCTCAGCGATCTCTCTCTCTGCACCTCTCGTGTGTCTGGAGATCAAGTCGTGTGCAGAGCAGAAAGTAGTCAATGACAAGTGTGAATTCCTTTGTCCGCCGTCCTCCGGCGCCGCTATTGGGGGCAGCCCCCCCTCCACGCGGCATGTGCACCAGCTCTCTGCAGACCATCAGGACGTTGCTGCGCCTGCACCACTGTTTCTGGGCACTCTGGGTTAGAGCCCCACTCTTAAAACTGCGCAAACAAGACTCCGCAGACACCTAAGAAAGATGAAAGACAGAAACCAAATCCACAGGAAAAAGGCAGAGTGGAGGAAGCAAAGATTATGCCAAAAAGGAAAGTTCAAGGCAAAAAGAAAACCTCTTATTACTATCCCCAGAGAGAGGATACAGAAGATGCAATAAAAACAGAGACCATGAAACGGGTTGGAGAACAACAGAAATGTTTCACTGGCTGTAAAAATTTTTTCACATAAGGTAAAAACAAAGAAATTTCCTGTGAAAGAGACTAAAAAAAAAAAAAAAGAAAAGAGAAGAAAAGATAATGTGGGTGAGATAAGAAAACTGGAAAATTAGTCTGGAAGGCTGGACACCAGAAAAAACCAGGAATGTCCCCACCCACAGAGAGAAGGCTCCCAAGGACGCACTCCCAACACTGGAGGACACGACGCACCCCAAAGCACAGCACCCTAACGTTTCCACACTCCAGGTGACAGCTGCTCACTCTGCTAGTCCTGCATCTTTTAGAGTTGTCACTACTGCTTAGGAGTCAATCCTTCAATACTCACTCGCCTCTTACAGTTAACAATTCTTTGTATTAAATTTGCCTTGTTCAAATTGCCATGTGGTTTTCCTCTCCTGACCAGCCCCAGACTGATGCAGCCACTAACCTCTTTCAGAAAGTGTTCACACACTTCTGCAGGTTAAACAGCAGGACCTCATTACGGTTTGATTCAGGTCTTTGCACCTGCCCCCAGACTTTCCCATGACGTTCCCCAACACTAGATGGCACAGCCAATCCCTGAAATTCTGGTTCCAGTGACAGCTGTTCTACAAGTTTTTTCTAGATCACTCCATCCTGCCACAGACACACTTACACCCTCACCTCCTTGCAGGTCATCATTTCTCCTGCCGTAAATGTCTCCAGCATTCGGAGACCTTTCCCACCACATATCATGGGATCCTCATGCTATCTCCATACCATCTCCTACTACTCTATAGGTTCCTGAGGCTAATGTCTTCCTTTTATTTTTTGTTTTTACATTTTTTCTTTGAAGATTTATTTTGTAGGTCTGTGTTGTGGTAGAGTGGGTTAAGCTGTCACCTGTAATGTAGACATCCCATATGGGTGCCGGTTTGAGTCCCAGCTGCTCCACTTCCAATCCAGTTCCCTGCTAATGCGCCTGGGAAAGCAGAGGAAAATGGCCCAAGTGTTTGGGCCCCTGCATCCATGTGGGAGACCAGGAAGAAGCTCCTGGCTTCAACCTGGCCCAGCACTGGCTGTTGTGGCCAGTTGGGGAGTGAACCAGAGGATGGAAGATCAATCTCTCTCTTTCTCTCTAACTCTGACTTGTAAATAAATAAATAAGATTTGAAAAGGCGGCATTAGAGAGACAGAGAGAGAGTTTGTCTATCCACTGATTAACTCCCCAAATGGCTTCAATGGCCAGGGCTGGACCAGGCTAAAGCCAGGAGCTCAGAGCTTCACCTAGGTCTCCCATGTGGATGCAGGAGCACAAGCACGGGGGCCATCTTCCAGGGCTTTCCCAGGCGCATTAGCAGGGAGCTGGAGTGGAAGTGGAGCAGCCAGGTCTTGAACCAGAGCCCATACGGGATGCTGGTGTTGCAGGTGGTGGCTCAATCTACCACGCCACAACGCTGGCCCCAGAGGCTAACAGCTTCTTTATCACTGACATCCCACAACCAGGCCAAGTAGTTTACAGAAAACAGATGATGCTCAATAACCATCTGTAAAATAAAGGTTTAAAACTGTTTATTTTCATCTATTTGAAAGACAGAGAGACAGAGGGAGAGCAAGAGCAAATGATCAATTGATCTTCCTTCCAGTGGTTCATGCCCAAATGTTTACAGCAGCCAGGGCTGGGGCAGTCTAAAGGCAGGAGCCAGGAACTCCATCTGGATCTCCCAAGTAGGTGGCAGGGGCCCCAGTACTTGAGCCATCATCTACTGCCTCTTAGGTACATCAGTGGGAAGCTGATTTGGAGGCCGAGCAACCGTCACTCAAGCCAACACTGTGATTCAGGATGCAGGCATCTCAAGCATGGCTTAACCCACTGCGCCACAGGTCTGAGCTCTGCCAAGTACGTCTTTAAACTGACAGTGGCCTTGGAATTTCTGAAGTACTGTCACCT